GAATGCTCTTTGATTGTAGGTGAACTATAAATCCCAGCAACTACAACTCCCAAATGACAGAATCAATTTTTTTAGTGAAGGACATACATTGGGTTGTTAGGTGTCTTGTGTCCAAATTTGGTGTCAATTTGTCCAGTGGTTTTTGAGTTCTGTTAATACCACAAACGAACATTACATTTTTATTTATATAGAGTATAGTGCCAGTGTATATGTGTTTTGTGTGTATATGTATGTGTACATGTGCATATATGTGGTTTTGCACATGTGCTGTGATGTATTTTTTATTTTTTGGCTTTTTGCCTGCTGTGTTTTTTCATTGTTTTTATGAGTGATAGTCACTTCTTGGCCTGATAGGTGTATTGTGTCCAAATTTGGTGTCAATTCGTCCAGTGGTTTTTGAGTTATGTTAACCCCACAAACAAGCATGACATTTTATATGAATTTTATTATGTGATTTAACCTGTTTTAAACGATGTATTTATGTGGGTTCAGCATCTAATTGTTGCCAGTCGCCTTCGGGCTGAAAAGGGCAGGATAAAAGTGTGGTAAATAAATAAATATGCTGGATTTCATATCACAAAATCACAAGTCAAACACTTCCCAAGCATTTAGGACTGTGTGATTTATTTATTTACTGTATTTGTATACCTCCTTTCTCAGCTATATCGGCGACTCAAGGCGGTTTCCAACAAAACAGTATACATAGTATCACAACACAATTAAAAACATTACAATTACATAACCCACAACAGCAATAACAAAACCATCATTGGCGTCTCCTTATTGTAAAGCATTGTCCAATTCCATCGTCAGTCATCAAATTCCTATATCATTTATCCATATCCATTACTCTGTGTTTGTGAACGCTTGCTCAAACAGCCATGTTTTGGCTTGCTTCCGAAACGTTAAAAGGGAAGGAGCAGATCTGATCTCTCTAGGGAGGGCGTACCATAGCTGGGGGGCCACTGCTGAGAAGGCCCTATCTCTCGTCCCCGCCAAACGTACCTGTGACGAAGGCGGGACCGAGAGCAGAGCCTCTCCGGACAATCTCAAAGTTCTAGATGGTTCGTAAGGTGAGATACGTTTGGACAGGTAAGTTGGGCCAGAACCGTTTAGGGCTTTAAAGGTTAAAACCAGCACGTTGAATTGTGCAAACTGGCAGCCAGTGGAGCTGGTGCAACAGGGGGGTTGTATGTTCCCTGAGAGCCACTCCAGTTAGCAATCTGGTTGCTGTCCGTTGGACCAGTTGGAGCTTCCGGACAGTCTTCAAAGGCAACCCCACGTAGAGAGCGTTGCAGTAGTCTATGCGGGATGTAACGAGAGTGTGGACTACCGTGGCCAAGTCAGACTTCCCAAGGTACGGTCGCAGCTGGTGCACAAGCTTTAACTGTGCGAATGCTCCCCTGGTCACCGCCGAGACCTGGGGTTCTTGTTGCTACTAAGAGGTTGCAACGTACTTTATCTAAGTTGTAAGGATCAATGTTGTTTGTGCTATAACTTTAAGTTGCTGTAAGGTTCAAGGCTGTTTTGTGCTACAGCTGTTTCAGTTAATTGAAGAGTTAATTGAGAGTATTATTTTCATGTGTATAAAGATAGCTACTGTGTGTTTAGTTCTTTGCCATTGTGCCTTTATGCTATTGTGCATCTATGCCTCTGTGCCATTCTGCCTTGTGTAAGCCGGGGACTATGCTGCAGATGTCCTGCGAAGACACAGCCATGAGAAGAGGACAAGGATTCCTGCTTATCACAGCTGAGTAATGATATCTCTCAGAAGATATTGTTTCATGTTACTTTTGTGGAAACAGCAATCCTGCTATTTTGTTTTGTATGCTGCCAATACTACAATATTTTTCTTTTCTACTTTAAGCCAAAGTCTCGTGTGTTTTTCTTTTATGAGCCAATTCATCACACACACCGTTAACTGGGCTAGAGTCAATCTGCATGCTACTCATGCTAACACTTGACAGTTCCAGGCTCAGCGATGAGTCCAAGATCATACCCAGACTGCGAACCTGCATTTTCAGGGGGAGTGTAACCCCATCCAACACAGGTTGTAACCCTATACCCTGTTCGGCCTTACGACTGACCAGGAGTACCTCTGTCTTGTCTGGATTCAATTTCAATTTGTTAGCCCTCATCCAGATCGTCACAGCAGCCAAACACCGGTTCAGGACCTGAACAGCCTCCTTAGTAGTAGATGGGAAGGAGTAACAGAGTTGGACGTCATCCGCGTACAGATGGCACCATACCCCGAAACTCCAGAAGATCTTCCCCAGCGGCTTCATGTATATGTTGAACACCATGGGGGATAGTATGGAACCCTGAGGAACTCCACAAGACAACGGTTGTGGAGTTGAGCAGGTGTCCCCCAGTAACACCATCTGGGTACGACCCTCCAGAAAGGACCGGAGCCACTGAAAAACAGTGCCTCCCAGGCCCATTCCAGCGAGGCATCCCAGAAGGATACCGTGGTCGATGGTATCAAAGGCCGCTGAGAGGTCCAGCAGAACCAACAGGGACACACTCCCCCTGTCTAGCTCCCGGCGTAGATCATCAACTAAGGCGACCAAGGCTGTCTCGGTTCTTCCTCAATCATTTCCTTCTCCCTGGAGCATTGAACCATTAATGCACACACTACTAACCTTTGATTAAGGCAGCAATATATGATTGGACTATACATTGCAGAGCTCATGGCAAGGAAAAACACTGCCAAGTACACTTGCTGAATGTATTTCTTCTCATTAAGTTCTTTCCAGATGCTTCCCAAAATGAAGTAGAAATGATAAGGAAACCAACAGATGGCAAATGTGATCACAACAGCAACCATGGTCCTGACAAACTGGAAAAACAAAGGGAAGATGTTACTCTTCTGCCTTTCTTCCTGGAGTCAGCTACTCCTATTTCATGCATCGGATCTTGATCAGCTTTTATTATTAGTCAAGTGTCTTGTTGTGCAGTTTGATTTGTGGAAAGACATGGTAGTAGTGAAGAAAGGAAGTAGGATACACTGCTCTTCACTAGTTGCCATCATATAAAAATAATATAAAACTTTATTTACATACCGTTCTATCTCCCTGGGATAGTTGATGTTGCTTGGGCGGTTTCCAAGCAACAACATCAAAACAGAGTCACAACATGAACAAAAAAATAACAGTAACAGCAACATAAGCATGGAATTACCCAACAACACATAAATATTAAAAGAAAAAATCCTGCCTGCTCTTCATGTCTATTTTTAGGGCATGGAAAAGGAATGGGTCAGGACAATTAAAAAGGCTGGGTCAAGACTGATCCAAATTGAAATAAGATGGGACCGACATTTGGGTACAGTACTGTAATAGGTAAATGACAAAAGCGGGGATGGGCTATTTCCAGGGGCCTGTTAGGATAATGACCAGGATAATATATAAAAAGGTAGTCCCCTGACATTAAGTCCAGTAATGTCTGACTCTGGGGTGTGGTGCTCATCTCCATTTCTAAGCCGAAGAGCCAGCGTTGTCCATGGACACCTCCAAGGTCATGTGGCCGGCATGACTGCATGGAGCGCCGTTACCTTCCCGCCGGAGCGGTACCTATTGATCTACTCACATTTGCATGTTTTCGAACTGCTAGGTTGGCAGAAGCTAGGGCTGACAGCGGAAGCTCACGCCGCTCCCCGGAACGATTCATAACAGTAGCAAAATTACAGTTATTTAACCCACTGCACCACCGGGGGCTCCCAGGATAATATTTTGGGGCTATTATTTATTTATTTATTTACATTTATATGCCGCCCTTCTCACCCCAAAGGGGACTCAGAGCGTGTCCGGACAGTTTCTGGGCTGAGCTAGCTGTTCTGTCGCGCGCTGGGCTTGAAACGAATTGCCTTTAAAACAGGACATGCAACTTTAGCCCAGCGGGAAGCCAGGGGGCCCGAAGAGAAATTCTTAAGGATTTTCACCACAAACAGTCTTTAGATAGCTTGTGAAATATAACATAGTCTTTATTGGTGAACAATCAACAGAAACTTCTTTTGTCTTCAAAAGGTTAAACAAATGCTTCCAGAATTTTGTGCAACTTCTGTTACTTTATTCTAAAGGAAAGTCCCTTTCCAAACTTCTCCCAGGCTAACTGTTAACCTAAACCTAACTGATGTGGGCACCACTACCGGGTTAAACTGCATCTCAAAGCACCGAGTGGACCTACCAGTAGGCCTGTAGTCACTTCAGCTGGAGTTCTTTGATATTCAAAGCTGTTTTTCCCTCTGAAATTCCTCAGAGCTTTAGGGCTGTTTCCCTGGGAATCTTTGGGAATCCTTTTGCTCTTAAGACTGTTTTCCCCCGGGAAGTCTTAAGGGTTGAAGCCTTTGTACAGGAGAAGTCTGTATAGGTCCTGTACATTGATTTTCCTTGCTGAGACTGACTGAAAATGGCTCCCTTCCCTTCACAATTGTCCTGAACAGGGTGCAGAACCAAACTTAACGATGATGGACAGGGGGCATGCCCTATAACTGCAAACTTTAACAGGAAGCAATCTAACTGCAAATGCACAGAACCTTAAAATACATTCAACACTCAACAAATAGCAAGGTAAGCTGGAGCTCCTGGTACGCCCGTGCCGGGCTGAGCTAGCACTGGTCACTCTCGAAGATTTGTTGAAACCACCAAGTCTTCAAACTCTTACGAAAAGAGGAGAGGGATGGGGCTTGTCTTAATTCCCTTGGAAGGGTATTCCAGAGGCGGGGGGCCACCACCGAGAAGGCCCTCTCTCTCATCCCCACCAACCGTACTTGTGACGGAGGTGGGAGTGAGAGGAGGACCTCCCCAGAGGATCTTAGAGTTTGCGCCAGTTCATAGAAGGAGATGCAATCGCGAAGATAGGCGAGGCCTGAACTGTTTTTCCAAATACAGAGGATACACTTCCTATGCATTTGGCAGTGTTAAGAGTTTATCCTTAACACTGCCAATACATGGAAATTACTATTTTTAAAAATAACTTCCAGAGAGGATCTGTCGTTCAGGAAGAGGCCATTTCACTAAATTCCACTGCAATATTTCCTGAGGAAACTCACTTCTGAAAGCTGGATGAAAAGCTATTATTTGCATCCATTGCAACTGAGGTGGGGATTTTGACTGAGAAAACCTTATTGGGCGGATTGTTTTGAAGCCCCGAAGGCTCTACATTATCCAGGGTATTATTACCACCACCACCACATTTCTTTTTGCCATGGATTTGTGAAGAGGGCCTATTTCACGTCTTCTGAAAAGATGTGGTGAAATTATTCAGGCATTTACAAACAATTTCTTCTTCTGAAAAGGTAAAAAATTGAGATGTGGATATGCAAGGGAAAGATACAATCTTCTAAGACAGAGCCTTCCAAACTGTGTGTCATAGAATCATAGAGTTGGAAGAGATCTCATGGGCCATCCAGTCCAACCCACTGCCAAGCAGGAATATTGTATTCAAAGCACTCCTGACAGATGGCCATCTGTGTCGTAGCATGTTAGTTTGTCAGCTATAGGTGTGTCGGACAAACGTAGCAAGAAACCTCTATGTGAAATAAACAATAAAACATATATTAAAAAAAATAGAAATAAAAGGTTTTCATGAGATCCATTGCATCCCCATATATTTCATTGTTATAATTCATATATGTGTCTCTATCTCTTTGCTACTAAAACTGAAATACTGAGTTGTGAAATAATGCATGGCTAAAAAGTGTGGCACTATCATAAAATGTTTGGATAGCTCTGCTCTAACGTGCCACCGGAAGTGGAAGAAAAAATTAAACTCTCTAGAACCATAGAATCATAGTTGGAAGAGACCTTGTGGGCCATCCAGTTCAAACCCCTGCCAAGAAGCAGGAATATTGCATTCAAAGCACCGACAGATGGCCATCCAGCCTCTGTTTAAAAACTTCCAAAGAAGGAGCCTCCACCACACTCCGGGGCAGAGAGTTCCACTGCTGAACAGCTCGCACAATCAGGAAGTTCTTCCTCATGTTCAGTGGAATCTCCTTTCTTGTAGTTTGAAGCCATTGCTCCATTGTGTCCTAGTCTCCAGGGCAGCAGAAAACATGCTTGCTCCCTCCTCCCTGTGACTTCCTTTCACATATTTATACATGGCTATCATGTCTCCTCTCAGCCTTCTCTTCTTCAGGCTAAACATGCCCAGCTCCTTAAGCCGCTCCTCATAGGGCTTGTTCTCCAGACCCTTGATCATTTTAGTCGCCCTCCTCTGGACATTCCAGCTTGTCAATATCTCTCTTGAATTGTGGTGCCCAGAATTGGACACAATATTCCAGGTGTGGTCTAACCAAAGCAGAATAGAGGGGTAGCATGACTTCCCTGGATCTAGACACTATGTTCCTATTGATGCAGGCCAAAATCCCATTGGCTTTTTTTGCCGCCACATCACATTGTTGGCTCATGTTTAACTTGTTGTCCACGAGGACTCCAAGATCTTTTTCACATGTACTGCTCTCGAGCCAGGCGTCACCCATTCTGTATCTTTGCATTGTTTTTCCTGCCAAAGTGGAGTATCTTGCATTTGTCACTGTTGAACTTCATTTTGTTAGTTTTGGCCCATCTCTCTAATCTGTCAAGATCGTTTTGAATCCTGCTCCTGTTCTCTGAAGTATTGGCTATCCCTCCCAATTTGGTGTTATTATTATTATAATACAATGGCACAGTGGGTTAAGTCAGTGTTTCTCAACCTGGGGGTCGGGACCCCTGGAGGGGTCGCGAGGGGGTGTCAGAGGGGTCACCAAAGACCATCAGAAAACACAGTATTTTCTGTTGGTCATGGGGGTTCTGTGTGGGAAGTTTGGCCCAATTCCATCGTTGGTGGGGTTCAGAATGCTCTTTGATTGTAGGTGAACTATAAATCCCAGCAACTACAACTCCCAAATGTCAAGGTCTATTTTCCCCAAACTCCACCAGTGTCACGTTTGATCCAGATCTATCACTGTTTGAGTCTACAGTGCTCTGATAGGTGAACTACAACCCAAAACTCAAGGTCAATGCCCACCAAACCCTTCCAGTATTTTCTTTGTGTCATGGGAGTTCTGTGTGCCAAGTTTGATTCAATTCCATCATTGGTGGAGTTCAGAATCCTCTTTGATTGTAGGTGAACTATAAATCCCAGCAACTACAACTCCCAAATGACAAAATCACCCCCAACCCCCACCAGTATTCAAATTTGGGTGTATTGGGTATTTGTGCCGAATTTGGTTCAGTGAATGAGAATACATCCTGCATATCAGATATTTACATGACGATTCAGAACAATAGCAAAATTACAAAAGTAGCAACAAAAATAATTTTATGGTTGGGCGTTACCACAATATGAGGAACTGTATTAAGGGGTCACGACACCAGAATGCCTTCTAGCCCTTCATCTAGTCATTAATAAAGATGTTGAACAGGACCGGGCCCAGGACGGAACCCTGCGGCACTCCGCTCGTCACTTCTTTCCAGGATGAAGAGGAAGCATTGGTGAGCACCCTCTGGGTTCGTCCATTTAACCAATTACAGATCCACCTCACCGTAGTTTTGCCTAGCCCACATTGGACTAGTTTGTTTGCCAGAAGGTCATGGGGGACCTTGTCGAAGGCCTTACTGAAATCCAGGTACGCTACATCCAGAGTTGTCAATTACTGATCCAACCACCCTATAGCAACAACTCACTTTGAACCACTCCAGCTTTTCAGGGCTAGATTGACAGTTTTTGACTTTTTGGGTTGAATTACCCCGACAGTGAGCGTATCCTCTCTTACCTCCTTCTCTAAACAGAGGCTGGATGGCCATCTACTGAGAGTGCTTTGGCTGTGTGTTCTTGCATGGCAGGTGATTGGACTGGATGGTACTTGAAATCACCTCAGACTCTAGGATTCTATGATTCCACCAATTTGTCATAAACAAAATTGTTTTCCTGTCATTCGCCATACTCCTTTAAACATGGGTATAGAGAAATATCTAGTATTACCCTAAACCCCTGTGTGGTCACATATGTGTAAAACTTGCCATGTCTTTGTAGAGCTCTCCAGGTGAGTAAGAAGTGTGAAAAATCTGATTTTACTTTTATACCCACACACACACACACACAGTATCAAATCATTGCATAAATTAGTATAAAACCGATAAAAATAGAAGGAGTGAAGGTTGCTAAATATCTTTTGACCAAAAACGGGCAACAACAATGGCATTGTCTATAGCCTCCAACCATTCTTCCTCTGTACATGAGGCAGGGCATAGTGGACAAGCATAGAGATGCGGAGTTGTCTGTTCTGCTCCACAGTCACACAAGATATGGGATTCTTTTAGGTAGTGCCCTTTTGCCAGGTTGTCTTTTTTTCTGCCCACTCCACTTCTGAGTCTGTTCAGGGACTTCCAGGTTGTCCATTCTTGGTTTTCCCCTAGAAGAAGACCCTCGTGGCAGGCCATCTGATTTAGCTGCCCAGTGGGATACCCTTGCTGTTTCTGGAGGGATGCCAAGAGGAGTGGTAGTTCTCGTAAAGCTTTTCCTTGATTTGAGACTACTGGGAGGAGGTTGGTAGCCATGTAGTGGGTGGCATTCACAGTGTTCAACCTTATTTCTCTCACATTTAGCAGCAACTTCCTGTTGCACATCGGGGGAGCAATGCCAGCTAGCTTGTAAAGCTTGTCAAAAGGTGTAGGTTTAAGACATCCTGTGATTATTCTGCAGGTTTCATTCAATGCTATGTTCACCTGCTTTGCATGGGCATACCTATGCCAAACAGGGCAGGCATGCTCAGCAGTTGACTAAGACAAGGCTAGGGCTGATGTTCTTACTAATTTTGGGTCTGCACCCCATGTGCTGCCAGTAAGTTTCCGCAGGATGTTATTGCATGCAGCTACTTTGTGCTTGGTGTTCAAGCAGTGTTTCCTATATAGAAAGCAACACACATGGATACTTCTTTTCTGTTGTTCTGCTTGCAGGAAGAAGTGAGCTGAACAACAGCTGAACATGTTGCTTAAAATTATTATTGCTGCAGTGTGCATCCATGACAGCAGTAGGCATGTGCTTAAATTGGTTTTTAAATTGACAACAATGTTTACCTCTGGCATGGCTAATGTTTCATTCCCACAGATTATAAAAGGGTAACTATACAGCCCCATCCCACTCCTCCATTTCGGGTTTGGATTCATATTACTATTTCACTAGAGGCAGCAATTTTTACTTAATGAATACTAACCTTTTTTTTGGCAGTGATCTGATGATGGTAGTAGACAACGTTGGCATGATCTCCAGGGACAGCATTGTTCCACAGAGTCAGTCCTATTGCACGGTACGCAATAAACATCACTGTGAGGGGTAGCAGGTAAACCAAGACAATGACTGAAATGTGATATCTAAAAAAAAAGTGCCAAAAGTGAATGACCACATATATTCTTTCTGAAGAATTTTAAAATCCTTATTTACTTATTAAAATATTTTTGTTCCCATCCCACATGCACAGATCTCAGGACAAATTTTGTTTATTATTTTGTTATATAATGTATTTTTGTTCCACAGGAGTTGTAGTTTTACAAGCCTTGCCTGGCAAATAACACTGGTGCTTCACCAAACTACAAATCTTAGGGGTCTATAGCAGGGGTCCTCAAACTTTTTAAACATAGGGCCGGGTCACAGTCCCTCAAACTGTTGGAGGACCAGGTAATAATTTGAAAAAAAACACACACACACATGAATGAATTCCCATGCACACTGTACATATCTTAATTGTAGTGCAAAAAACACTTTAAATAATACAATAATTAAAATGAAGAACAATTTTAACAAATATAAACTTAGCAGTTTATAATAAATATAAACCTAGCAGTTTGAAAACATGCAAATGTGAGTAGATCAATAGATACCGCTCCGGCGGGAAGGTAATGGCACTCCATGCAGTCGTGCCAGCCACATGACCTTGGAGGTGTCTATGGACAACGCCGGCTCTTCGGCTTAGAAATGGAGATGAGCACCACACCCCAGAGTCAGAAATGACTGGACTTAAAGTCGGGGGACAACATTTACAACCTTTTAAACTTGGGGAGACAGCGGGCGAAGCGGCCCCAAAGCCGCTTTGCCCACCGCCTCCCCCCCTTCTCCTGCCTTCGGGATGGGGCCAGGCCTCATCCCGAGGGCAGGAGAAGAGCAGGCTGGGCCCAGGGAGGCAGAGGACAAAGCGGCCCCAAGCTGCTTTGCCCGCCGCCTCCCCCCCTTCTCCTGCCTTCGGGAGGCGGCGTTGCCACCTCCCGAGGGCAGGAGAAGAGCAGGCTGGGCAGAGGGAGATAGAGGGCTTGGTAGTTGATGAGGTTTGCCTAGCGCCCCCCTCTCCTGCCTTCGGGAGGCGGCGTAGCCACCTCCCAAGGGCAGGAGAAGAGCAGGCTGGGCAGAGGAGACACGGAGAGCAAAGCGTCCCCAACTGTTTTGCGCACCGCCTCTCCCCGTCCCACCCCCACACCCCCCAACACACCCACCCACAACTCCACTCTCCCCCTTCGCCCGCCGCCTCTCACCCTTCTCCGCACCCCGCGGGCCGGAGAAATGCCCTCAGGGGGCTGGGTTCGGCCCGTGGGCCGTAGTTTGAGGACCCCTGGTCTATAGCATTGAATCATGGAAATTAAAGTGTTGTCAAACTGCAATAACTCTACACTGTGCAACCATGGTAATATACTGCCATAAATTGCTTTGGGCCATCCAAAGCAATTGCAAATTATTTTAGGGCTGGAGTGGTAGGATGTAACTGTCGTCATCTTCAAGTTGAACCACCTCTCAATAGTGAGGAATATTACCATTTATTTGTAGTTTAATGTTTATTCCTTCTTAAGAATGTCTTTACATTGTAGTTTTGTGTGGACATGTATGTCCATGTGTACATAGAATAATAGAATAATAGAGTTGGAAGAGACCACATGGGTCATCTAGTCCATGCAGTAAAGCACAATTGAAGTATCCCTGACAGATAGCCATCCACCATGTCAGACTACACAGAGAAGCCATTGAAATCCACAAGCATGTGGACAATTTCAACAGAAAGGAGGAAACCATGAAAATGAACAAAATCTGGCTACCAGTATTAAAAAAACTCTAAAATTGCAACAGCACAACAACAGAGAGGAAGCAGACAGGGTCATCTAATTACCTCTCAACAAAAGTTTACTCCAGGCACAGTCAGCCCATTGTATGCTAATCAAGGTGGTCAGTTGAAACATTCACACCTAGCTCCAGCAGACAAGAGTTCTTTGTCTCACCCTGGTCATTCCACAGATATATAAACCCCTTTTCCTAGTTCCAACAGACCTCACTACCTCTGAGGATGCTTGCCATAGATGCAGGCGAAACATCAGGAGAGAATGCCTCTAGAACATGGCCATATAGCCCGAAAAAAACCTACAACAACCCATCCAGCCTCTGTTTAAAAGCTTCCAAGGAAGGAGCTTCCACCACACTCTGAGCCAGAGAGTTCCAAATTACTCGGAGCAATGAGTTCAAATTACAGGAAACTTTCCTGTAATTTGAACTCATTGCTCCGAGTCCTAGTTTCAAGGGCAGCAGAAAACAAGTCTGCTCCCTCTTCCTTATGACACCCTTTCACATGGCTATTTATATATGACTATCATGTCTCCTCCCAACCTTTTCTTCTACAGGCTAAACGTACCCAGCTCTTTAAGATGTTCCTTATAGTGCATGGTTTCCAGATGTTTGATCATTTTACTTGCTTATCTCTAGACACCTTCCAGCTTGTCAATATCTCCTTTGACCTGGACACAGTATTCCAGGTAAGGTCTAACCAAAGCACAATACAAAGGCACTATGACTTCCCTCAATCTAGACATTATACTCCTTTTGATGCAGCCCAAAATCCAATTGACTTTTTTAGCTGCAGCATCACACTGTTGGCTCATGTTCAACTTGTTGTCCATGAAGAAACCAAAATTGTGACATTTTGGCTGATAAAGGAATTGATTAACATGGATTTTAGCATAAATCTGCAGCATTATTTGATATTAAATGAATATTTTTCTGTCCCTCGTGTCTCCATCTTTTTTTATCAAATGAAAACAAAGGACCCTTCCGCACAGCCCTATATCCCAAAATATCAAGTCAGAAAATTCCACATTATCTGAGTGTGGACTCAGATAACCCAGTTCAAAGCAGATATTGTGGGATTTTCTGCCTTGATATTCTGGGATATAGTGTTGTGTGGAAGGGCTCTAAGACTTCCATCCAATTATTGTTGTTCATTCGTTCAGTCGTCTCCGACTCTTCGTGACCTCATGGACCAGCCCACGCCAGAGCTCCCTGTCGGCCGTCACCACCCCCAGCTCCTTCAAGGTCAATTATTAGTCTCAACTAAAGCAAACCTATTGAATATATGGAATTTACCGGGATTGTGGCGCAGCTGGCTGAGTGTCAGCTGCATTAAGATCACTCTGACCAAAAGGTCATGAGTTCAAAGCCAGCCCGGGTTGGAGTGGGTTTCCAACCAATTGTGTAGCCTGTTGTTGACCTTTGCAACCCGAAAGACAGTTGCATCTGTCAAGTAGGAAAATTAGGTACCACCTTAAAGTGTGGGGAGGCTAAATTAACTAATTTATGAGGCCATAAAAAAAAGACTCCAGCAAGCACTCCAGCAAAAAAGCATGCGGGGAATGCGGAAGTACTTCATCAGTGTCACAGCTGGACGATGAAAGCGACAGCTCCCCTGGCGGCCAGAAAAGTTAAATAGCCTCTGTGTATGTCTGTATACGTTGTGTGTCAAATTGGCATTGAATGTTTGCCATATATGTGTACATTGTAATCCGCCCTGAGTCCCCTGCGGGGTGAGAAGGGCGGAATATAAAAAGCTGTAAATAAATAAAATAAAATAAATACCAAAATGTTGCCAAACCTAATTACCATTGTTTAAACAGGTCTACTCTTGCTGTGATTAGCAATTGGATTCTACCACAAATACTGTTTTCTCATCTTTGTACCTGTTGTGCTGAATGCAGCTTTAAAAAGATCACTTTTAAATCACATAACATTCCAGCATTTCCTTTAGGAAAGAATATAAGCTGTCAAAATAGATTTCTGGCTTTAATAACTGGGATGTCCTTACGTGAGTCTTCTGCGTTCGCTGTCACCTGGCCAGATAATGATACATTTGGGTGTTCCTTCATCAATGAATATTTGGGCATAAAAGAACTGGGGAAAGGCAAGTCCACAAGCCACCAGCCATATGATTCCTATGATCACTTTGGTGTTCCCAGCAGACAGTTTTCGCTTGAAGGGGTAAATTATAGCCATGTACCTGCGAGAGAAAGGAAGGTGGTGGTAGAATAATTCAATGTAAAATGATAGTCACAAGTCATACAAACATTACAATGGAGCTTAACCATATACTATATATGCATCAGAGGTTCAAAATGTGATACCTACAATATACTACCTAAACCTTTTCTAGTATGTTTTCTTCACTTTACCTCTTATCCTTGCTATCCTTCTTGCACCCCCCCCCCCGGAAGATCTATAGTTTGCCAAAGGTTGGGAACCACTGATACATATATAGTGTATGTGTGTATATATGTATATGTATGTGTGTGTATATATATATACATAGAGAGAGAGTGAGAGAGAGAGAGATCAGTGGTTCCCAACCTTTGGTAAACTTTAGAGCTTTTTTGGGGGGGTGGGGGGGTGGGTGGAGGCCCAAAGGTTGGGAACCACTGATCTCTCTCTCTCTCTCTCTCTCCACACACACACACACACACACACACACACACACTAGATCAGGATTCTCCAATTTTTTTCAGCTATGAAGCCCTTTTAGAAGCAAAAGTTTCTCATGGAGCCCCAAGAAATGTTTATATATTGTACTAGCTGTACCTGTCATGTGTTGCTGTGGCCAACCTTTCTTCCCTCTTTCTCTCCCTCTTTCTCTCCTTCCTTCGCTCTCTCTTTCCTTCCTTTCCTTTTTTCTTTCCTTCTCTTCTTCCTTTTCTACCTCTTTCCTTCCTCTCCCCTTTTTCTTTTCCTTCTCTCCTTTCTTCCTTCTCTACCTGCTTCCTTCCTTCCTTCCTCACATCTTTGTCCTTGCAAGTTCCTACCTTTGTCAATACAGAACTGGACAGCTCATTAAAAGTTCATTATCATTTCTTTGACATTGTCTTTGTGGATGATGCCCCCTCTCGTGGGGCATCACAACAGCTGATTGGTCCCTCGGCTGACCAATCTCTAGCCATCATTTCCTTGGCAAAGGGAATCCCTGCCTAGAGGTGACAATGTCAGTGAGACTCCTGGCCAATCAGGACATGGATCCTGACCAGCCTCCTTTCTGACGAACCAGGGGAGTGGGAGTTTTGAATAGCTGTCAAACTGTATAAAGTGTCGTGCTTTCTCTGTATGTTTTATACTTGTATTGTTGAAGCGTCAGCTTGTATCCTTTTTGGCTGAATTGAATAAATCTTTGTGGCTTGTCTTCAACCTGCTGAGTGTTTCTCTGTCCTGGCCCATTCAGTTTAGTATATACTCGCCGGGCACAGATCCTTTTATCCACAGTCCTAGTTATCCACTTGACTAGCACAGGATATAGTAGTATTGTTATGCTTCTTGGAAATTTTGGTTCTTAATATAATTTGCCTTCATTGCTGCAAAATCACACAGCTGGTTCATGTTCAATTCAACAAAAATCTCAAAGTCCATTTCACATATACTATTTCTACGTCAGGTATTCCCATTTTATACATGGCCTAAATGTAGAATTATGCCTTGGTCTTTACAAAAGTTAATTCCAATAGCTTAACCCAACTTTCTAGTTTATCAAGGTCATTTTGAATTCTGATCCTATCTCCCAATGTATGAGCTACCACTCCCAGTTTTGTATCATTTGCAGACTTTATTATTCCTTCAAATTCTTTTTAATAAAAATTCTTTCTAGTCGTGCTTTCATTGGCAGCATGGCACATTCAGCTGTCATCATATGCCACTGTTTGTGATGATCATGTTTTCTTGCTTCTGCCATCAATTGCATGGCAGATGGCCAAACAAATGGTGGCTTATCTTCATTCTTGTTCCTTGTTTTTCTCTCACTTCTCAGCAATTTTAGGATTGTCAGAGGGAGAAATAATCCACAAAAGTCAACATCGACACCAAAACACAACACCGTCTGAGCTCTGTGAGTGCAGCTTTTTTCCGAATGAAGCAGTATTGTCGAAGGCTTTCATGGCTGGAATCACTGGGTTGTTGTAGGTTTTTCGGGCTGTATGGCCATGGTCTAGAGGCATTCTCTCCTGACGTTTCGCCTGCATCTATGGCAAGCTCAGAGGTAGTGAAGTAGTGAAGAGGTAGTGAGGTAGTGAAGCACAGAGTGTTTGAGGACCGGGACACCAAGATGCTTGTTTATAAAGTCCTCCCAACCCTGCTATATGCCTGAGAAACGTGGACTGTCTACAGATGTCACATGCAACTCCTAGAACTATTTCATCAGCACTGCCTCCAGAAAATCCTGCAAATCTCTTGGGAAGACAGGCGGACAAACGTCAGCATGCTGGAAGAAGCAAAGACCACCAGCATTATTATTATTATTATTATTATTATTAACAGTATTTATATTCTGCCCTCCTCACCCCGCAAATCTCTTGGGAAGACAGGCGGACAAACGTCAGCATGCTGGAAGAAGCAAAGACCACCAGCATTATTATTATTATTATTATTATTATTATTATTATTATTATTATTAACAGTATTTATATTCTGCCCTCAGGGCGGATTACAGTGTACACATATATGGCAAACATTCAATGCCAATTTTGACATACAACATATACAGACATACACAGAGGCTATTTAACTTTTTCTGGCCGCCAGGGGAGCTGTTGCTTTCATCGTCCATCTGCGACACTGATGAAGTACTTCCGCATTCCCCACATGCTTTTGCTGGAGTGCTTTTGCTGGACTCTTTTTTATGGCCTCATAAATTAGTTAATTTAGCCTCCCCACACTTTAAGGTGGTACCTAATTTTCCTACTTGACAGATGCAACTGTCTTTCGGGTTGCAAAGGTCGACAACAGGCTACACAATTGGTTGGAAACCCACTCTAACCCAGGCTGGCTTCGAACTCATGGCCTTTTGGTCAGAGTGATCTTAATGCAGCTGACACTCAGCCAGCTGCGCCACAATCCCGGTGCATTGAAGCGATGGTCCTCCGCCATCAACTCCGCTAGACTGGCCACATTGTCCGGATGCCTGACCACCATCTCCCAAAACAGTTGCTCTACTCCCAACTCAAGAATGGAAAGCAGAATGTTGGTGGGCAGGAAAAGAGATTTAAAGATGGGCTCAAAGCCAACCTTAAAAATTCTGGCATTGACACTGAGAACTGGGAAGCCCTGGCCCTTGAGCGCACCAGCTGAAGGTCAGCTGTGACCAGCAGTGCTGCAGAATTTGAAGAGGAATGAAAGAGAGAAACGTGCCAAGAGGAAGGCGAATCAAGCCAACCTTGACAGAAACCGTCTTCCACGTGGAAACCAATGCCCTCACTGTGGGAGAAGATTCAGATCAAGAATAGGGCTCCACAGTCATAGAATCATAGAATTGGCAGAGACCTCATGGCCATCCAGTCCAACCCCCTGCCAAGAAGCAGGAATATTGCATTTAAATCACCCTTGTCAGATGGCCATCTGTTTAAAAGCTTCCAAAGAAGTCACCTACAGACACACCAGAATACTGATCCTGGAAGACTATCCTACTCGGCCAACGAGGGATGGCCTAAGTAAGTAAGTAAGTAAGTAATAAATAATCCACAGGCAAAACACATTTGTGGTTTCGAATGCAATGACAAGCCACAGTTTAATAACTAGAGATTTAAAGCCACGTTGGCTTTAGATTGTGGTTAGAGAGGCTAGCTTACACATTGAGGTAGGTTCACAATACACAACAAGCCACAGTCCAACCACAAACCATACAATGTCTCATTGCAGATGTAGTCATTTTGTTAAACCTTGTTTGGCTTTGTCTCCCATCTGTTTAATGGGCTATATGGCTGGTGGGTGGACTTAAAATGATTGTCACCAAGCTTTTGATGCGTCCAGAAGGGTGGCCTGCACAATTAAAGTGCAGTGTTTTGGAGGGATCAATAAATACACATTTGGTGGATGAGTAATTGCCAGACCTTCTCGGCTCAAACCAGGCATGAAGGGGAAAAAAGCATGTTTCCTACAATTAATCTGTTTTTCCTCCAGCAACAGAATTTTCCCAAAACACATGCCTCCAGAGACTTCCAAATTAAGGCCATATGTATCCTCCAATGACCAACCTCACACAATATGAAGGGAAACATATGTTATGACAAATAGATGTTATTCACCTGTTAGAGGAGCATCTTTGCAAAGCAAAAAGTGATAAGCCACTTATCCTATATCTTGATTCACAACAGAGCTTTTTAGTCTTATCTAAACTTCAGGAATCCAATTATTTTCGTGACTTAGATAGAAAATATAAATTATCTCCTGCTCGTTGCTCGGTTGCCCTCCTGCTTTCTCTCTTCTCCAGCTCTGGCAGCAGTAGTCCTTTCCTTTAGGCTTGGGCGATCCAGTTCGTTAATTTCATTATTCGTTATTAATTCGTATTTAAATTAGCTTACGATCCAATATCAAGCCATGCAGGAATAGTGTGAGGAGTAATTAAGAATCGAAACAATTTTTCCAATTTTCGTAATTATTTCGTAATTAATTCATAATTATTATTTTGGCATCCTTCTTGCCCAAAATTTCTCATTACTTTATTTTTCATACCCTCACTCTATGCCACAGGAATGCGTTGCCAGGTACAGCTAGTATATAATATAATATAATATAATATAATATAATATAATATAATATACAATTATAATATAATATATAATATAATAATAATATAATATAATATAATATATATTATATTATATTATAATTGTATATTATAATATAATATAATATACAGTAATATAATATAATAATATAATAATATAATATACAACAATATAATATAATAATAATATTATAATAATATAATATAATATAATAAATATAGTTGTTGTTTGTTTTATCACACCAACAGTCAACAACTGAGGGAGAGGGAAGCTTCAGAAGTTCCCCCTGTCCCATTTGGAGGTTTTTTTAGCATATTGCGCAATCGCGTCCGCCATTAACGAATCGATTCGTAATTTTACAAAATTTCGTATATTTCGAAATTTTTAAAAGGAAAATTTCGGAATTATTAAAAAAAAAAAACGAAACGCAAGGGCCCCCTAAAAACAAAACAAGTTTAGAACC